TCGCATGCTTCAGACAACTTGCATCGTACACTTTTTTTTCTCTCCACTACAGCTCACTGTTTCTGCAAGTGAAGTCTCTGATGAAAGTTCTGCATGTGCAGTGCAACGCCCTGATGAATAATGAAATTTGTTGTTGTCTGTTTTCAGTCGTTGTTGCAGCCCTAATATCCCAAATGCGCTAGTGAAGCACAGTTAGCTCACTGAAATGGCATGTAGATGCTTTCATGTCCAACAGCTACTCGGCTCACAGCCGAAAATGAGTTTACATCAGTCAGACTGTTCAAATAAATGACCGTGTTAGGACTATGACAGATCCTCCAGGTGTTTCATAGTTTCCCTTCATAGCGGGAACTTTGTTTAATCTCCATTCAAGCCTCTCGTCTGTAAAAAACTTTTTAAGACTGACCTGGTATCTGCCTGACCTGGTATGTTGAGACTGGTTATTTAGAAGATAATCGTCGGTATTTGTAAATGTCAGCCGGCTGTACTCTACATTCACTATGAGTCCGTTCTTCTGCTAGTTGCTCTACTGTATGACTTCAGTGTTAGCAGCTGTTTTGGGGCGACAGAGCAACTAACCAGACTGACTGAATGACTGATTTATGAAGTTGTGGTTTGTGGTCCCAGAGTTGGATTCCACTTTTGCTTTGCAAAAATGTTCCTGGTCGCTTGGAATTGGTTGCAGATTTTCATAACATAGAATTTGTCTGTAGGTTTCTTGATTGACAGCTTGTATGAGACTAATTTACTTTTCAGTATGACTATAGTTAATCTGTTTGATGCTAGCATTGGCTAAACAAACTCTCCCTTTGCAGTCCACCGGCTCTCCCCCCAAAGAAGCGTCAGTCGGCACCGTCTCCCACAAGGATTGCCGTGGTTGCGCCAATGAGTCGTACCACAAGTGGATCAAGTCTTCCTATTGGTATCTGTCGACAGGTAAGATTTTGGTGTTCCCTTGGTGCTCCAATCTGCAACTTAAGAGCCTAATGTGGGCCAAATGTTACACATTTTGGGATAGTTTTGGTTTTAAAATATGTGTGTTAAAATTACATTAAAATTAAATTAAATAGAAATATATATAATTTT